TAGCAAAGGCAGTAAGAGAAAACAGCCACTTAGGAAAAAAAAAAAAAAAATCCTGGAGATGAAGATTCCACAGTCTTACAAGGATAGATTTTATTCTAACCTAAATGTTTCTAAAAAATGTCAATGTCTCTATAACTATGCCATGAAAAACAGTATAGGATTATTATTGTGTGGTTTTTCCTTTGCAAGACCTTCTATTTACTAGATTAAACCTAATCCCTTTTAGTTTTTTCTAACACATAATATATTCATAAGCTTCTAATCTGATAAACCTTCATCTTTCTTCAGACAAAACTATTAAGAAAAATTAACACAATTTTTGCTTTCTCAAGTATTGCAACTTGTGAGCTTACTGCCTGCACATGTAATTTTTACGTTCAATAGAATGTGTACCCTGTAAATATGTCCTTTCAGTTTTGCTATAAAATCACAACCAACCTACAACATTTAGAGTTTCATTGTTCTTCTTTCTTTGCATCCATGTAGCAGGGATGCATGAGGATACTATTTCTCTAATATGCATAGAAGTAAGCAACTTAGAACAGTGTGACTTTCTGAAACCTGTATATCTACTGCAATTTCCTTACCTAAAACATAAGTTGACCTGTCAAAGGAGGAAATTTTATATTATTTAATATTTATAAAGTTAAATAGAGAATTACTCATCACCTTGAGACCTTTAAAGTATATTAATGTAAGCACTGCAGCATTTACCATGGACAGAAATTCATGGGGCAGGCCTATAAAATAAAGAAATCTCACTGTATCCTACCCATTTTTAAGTAGATTCCAAGTAATTACTAGGAACAGAAGGGTGAACCTAAGGAACCAGGACAAATGCACTTCAAAGCTTGGATAAATGTCTAACATGGAATAAATCTAAGTTTTTCTAACTTTTCCAGACTATAGAACTTCACCACCTATCACCCATGACTTCTCAAAACGAAATAACTAAGACACCTAAAATTACATCTTTTTTAAGTTTTTAATAAGTCTCTTGCTTGGGTGATTTGAAAACTCAGGACATTTGTCAACTTTTGGTTTGCTTTATTCAATTTCAATATTATTTAAGAAGCTGTCAATGAATGTTCCTCTCTTTAGACTTCAACTGACTTAGTCAGCAGAAATTCCAGTTTTAATGACATTCACTTTTTTAAAATTCAATATATTTTCTCATTTATTAAAAAGAAAATAAGTCCACAAAAATAAAAGATCATTTTCCATTCCCAAGCAGTTCTTCACCATCAGAAATATCAGAAGAATCTCCCACACACGTGCATTCAGTATTTTAAATGTTAAATATTTCAGTATACATTCTAAGAATTTGCAGCCTTTCTAAGAATATAATAAGAACTGTGTCCTTCTGTACTCCTCTTTTCTGTAAACATGTAATGAGGAATATTTTTTTGAGATGAAACCTTTGCCTTTTGTTAGTTTTGTTATTTGATTCTAAGGTAAGGAAGTAAGAAAAATATCCTCCACTTCATATTTCAGTCATTCATTTGGATTTTGATCCACAGAAATTACACGGCTGGTCTCTGCAAATGTCTCCTATCGTAATGTGGATCACTGTGCTGCCTAGTTTCATTCAACACATCTCTCCCTATTTCTGCATATTATCTGTTTTTGTACAAACTTTACCCTTGTATATAAAATTTACAACCATGAAATACATTCTACTGCATGCCTACAATGTCATTTTGTAGGTTTGTTATTATGTATCTCCAAGATTAAAGTTTTGTTTCCTACATTTAGGTAAAATGCACTGTCATTATATTGGATGTCAAGTTTTCAGTCCAGCATTCTCATTTTCTTTCTTCTTTCTCATTCTGCTAAGAACAGGCACACATGTTTTTACAAAGAACAGCTTTTCACATAAATTAGGGGTTACTCAACTCATTTACATAAAAATAAAGATACAAGCAACCTTTTTCAGGCCATTTCATTTTGTATCCTTGCTTTTTTATCTGTCTGATCTTTAAAGTTTCTTAAGCATATAATACTTAGATAAAAATTTTCTTCCTGATCTCAAAGATTTACTTTGAACCCGTTGCAAAATTCTTTCCTTAATCTTTTAACAATGTCACCCACTTTCCATCACCATGTACCCACTTTCTGCAAGACATTCAATTTCATTATAAATTTGCAATAATTGGAAATTGGTAGTATGGAAAAAACATCCTCAAGATATAGCACATCAGGAAATAAGATGTGGGAAATATAGAAATAAGGTAATGTGAATTTTTATGCTGGTCCCAAGAAGGAAATAATTGTATTTACAAATCAGTGCTACTAATATATTACTGTAAAAAATATCAACAAAATCGCATTCTTTTCCTTCATTTGATTTAAAGCACTGCATTCAACATTGAAGACCATCAGAAAACATTTTCATTTCTGAAGCCATTTTTCAGGCTTTTAGTTTGGCTTCTGTTCATAGATGCAACAGATTTTTGGTGTTTATACGCATTCACTCAAGACCAAAACAAATGTTAATTAAGAAAAAATCTCAAAACTCTGTTTACATCAACTTGATCTGCATAAAGCATTAGTTGCCAGTACAAGTGCCAGTATAATTTAAAGGTCCCAGCATCTAACCATTCGTGTATACTTTGCTTTGGAATACTTTCAGATGTACAGACTTACTTAGAATTTATCTGCCCTATTTTTCTTAGAACAGATTGCAATATGCACTTGAAATTTTGATATTTTGAAGAAGATACTTTGCCATTTTGAGATCAATTAAAACTATTAGGTCATGCAGCAGGTGAACACACTGTCATTTTCCCCCTTTTCTCTCCTAAAGACAATTGACTACAGCAAACCAGTAAACTGAAAGGACTTAATTAGTATCCAGGGACAGTTTAGTGGTATTTAATTAACTATAAATTACTCTAAGGGAAAAAAAAAAAATCCTAACTGATCTCTGGTTAATTCCTGACAGATCTTTAAGGAAAATTCTAGTTGAAAGGAACATACTTTGCAGTTTAGAATGATCACAGGAAGCAATACTTGTCTTCAGACTAGCAAAATATATATACACACACACACACACACACATATATATATATATATATATATATATATATATATATATATATTCAAGAGCCTGATTTCAATTTCAATTTTTAGTTTGTACAACAGATGGACTAAATGAAAAATGTCTCATAAGAGTTAAGATGAAGGGAAAAAGGAAGACATAGAAGGAAGCAGAACATAGATACTGTTTGAAGCAAAAAAAAAAAAAAAAAAAAAAAAAAAAGTTAGTGCAGAGATTCACAGGAGTTTCAAACAGAGATTCACAGGAAAAGGAGACAAACTATTTTTCCCTGAAAGAACAGACTCAGCTAACCAACTTTCACCATGCCCTAAGACAGTACCAGGCCAGTACGTCTTTCATAATATTAACACCTTTGCCCATCCTCTGAGCATTTTTGTTTTTTATTACCCTATCCTTGTTGTAACAGACTGAATCTTTTCTTACTGAATCTTTACCGAGAAGTAACATTCTTACTAATTATTACTTCACCACATTTGTAGAGTCTTGACTGTTACTCTTTACTCTGTATTCAACCTGACCTTTACTCTCTCTAGCGTTACTGATTATATTGCTTTAGAAGCATCTCTGTTCCCAGTTTCAAAAGGACACGACCTCCATTCTTTCCTGTGCCAAGTTATCCTGTTTTCTACATTACAGGATCCTGAACATTGGAAGCAGGTCTCCTTCAAAAGCCATTCTGGATATTTTAAAATTAGTCTATGAATGACTTAAATAAAAAATATTTCAAATTTATGTAAATAAAAATTTATAACCATTTAACTAAATCACAAATTACTTTTCCACTATTCACTTGATTAAGACTTGAATATTCCTTTTTACCTCCAGTCCTATTTCAAAGCAAGAGTTAAAAAATAAAATTAAATAAAATTAAAAATTAAAAATGAAGTAGATTATTTTTTCCTGTAAGCCTGTAATGCTAAACTTGAAACCAGAAGTTTGATTGTGTCTTTGGTAACATCAGCCAAACTTCTAGAAAGACAGCCTCCGAATTCCGCTGATGTGTTCTTGTTTTCCATCTCTGTTTCCTGCTCACCATTTACTAGCTGTTGAATCATCAACATCATCAAAAACCTTCTTTTTCACAGAATTATGAGAAGGGTTTGTCAGAGTCAGTTTAAAAACGATGGAAGAAACTGTTAACACTTCCATAATATTAAATCTCTCATCTGGCTAAATGACTTCCTTATATCCTCCATTACAGACAGATTTTCCTCTTACCAGCTGGTAGTTCTAACCTCCAGCAGACAAGCCTCAAATTGGACAAGTTTTTTGAAATTTCAAACCAAATACCACTGCCAGAGCAAACCAGAGGTTTTAGAGTGAGGTTAAAGGAATGGTATCAAATTGGGGTATTTCTGATGGAAATTCGGGAGTTCATATTTAAATGATGTGAATCATCTGCAAAACAAGCATCCACATTTCCTCTGCTTTCAACTCATAGGAGCCAAAACCAGAGTTCCTTCTGTGACTCTCTGAAAATGCAATTACCAAAATTCCAAACAAATATGGCAACTATTTTCTAACTTAGCTAATATGCCAAGAGCAGCACTAAAATGTAGGTGTCCTATTTGACCAGCCAATCCATTACATCTTTCAAGTTATCATCTTTTTCTTCAGAAACTGAGTTTTAAATAAAATCAGAAGACATAGCTGTTAGCAACCGTGAAGATACTGAGGAAAATGCAGATAGAGCGTGACAGATTTATTGACAGTTGCAATCTCAAATGCACACAATTCAGCAAGTGAAGGATAATTATGAGAATACTTATGCTAACAAATCTGTGTTATTTGTTACACTCTACCTTGCCAATGGAATTTCTCGTAATTAAGCTTTCTTAAAATAAAGCTGTAACAGTACTGACACCCCTCATTCTTCTTGTATGCATGAATATATATTCATAGAATCATATCTGCACCTAGTTGCATGATTTAGTCTTACCAGTGCTGTCATCATAAACAACAGTAACCGTTTTCCACTTGAAGAACTGCACAAGGTCAAGGATGGCACGGCTGAGTGATGAGAAGTCTGGATAGAGGCTGACATAGAAGGAGTCCTTGTTGTCTGACACCTGATGTTTCCAGCGGGTCTGGATATGTGGAACACCCAAAGCATTGCAGATTGATTGTACAGCATTAGCTGAGGAGCTATGGGATGGTCCGAAGATGGCAGCTACCCCAAGAGATAGCTGATCGCAGGCTAGAGAGAAGACAGAAGTCTGTCAATGATGAGAGGAAAGAAGGCAGTGTGCCAGAAGGTATTGCACAATTCATATCAAATAAAAGGTTCTCCATGAAATATAACTTCTGAGAAAACTCCTTTCTTCCGTAACACACAGATTTCAACTTCTGAATACATTTCTAAGCTTTCACTGTGAGCTGATGAATAGCAACACTTAACTTCTAAATAGTGCTCAGCTACATTTAATAAATACTTCTATGTCAGTGGAAGTCACAAAGGCCAGCAATTGTGTATAATTGTTTATCTTGTTTATTTCCTACAGTATGCTCCAGCATTATCTTGCAGAAGATGAGTTAGCACATTGCAGAAAGAAGCCAGAAAAATTAAGCAATACTGGAGACTAGTTTCTCAGTCCATGCCCTGCTCCTGTTCAGATCACTGCTATAGACATGACTTTTATGAGCACACGGTTCTGAAACTCAACAGATTCTGCCTTTCTAAGAAAACATCTTATTTGGTAGAGAGAAGTAAGGGAAAGTGTCTCCATAATCCAATGTGAATGTATTTATATGAGGCTAGATTACTTAGTGTTTTTACACCATCGTTGTTGTCCCTCACAACTAAGGAAACAAGCAGTAGAAACACATTTTACTACATTATTTTTCCTCAGTAAGTTGAAATTTATTTTTTCAGTTGTGCCATGTCTGTCCTTTTCAGCATGATTAAAAATACTACAAGTCTTTGAGAAATCATGCTGGCACACCTTTTTATTCTTGCAGAGCATCAGTGGTTTAAATTAACTTCTCATATACACACAAGATCTCCACTGTATTACTAAGCATCGGATTAAGGCCTAAATGACTAGCCTGATAAAAAAACATTTATGCTAATATTGCCCTTCCTAAGAGTAATCAACAAGCTTTATGCAAATGTCAGTAAATGGGATCACTAACAACAGCAATAGCTACCAGATGGCTTTTCAATGGGCTTTTTTTTTTTTTTTTTTTCTGTGATTTGAATAATGCAGTGCTTTCACATGTGATTTAATACAACTCTATCAGATGCATACCAATTTTTGTAGTGCACTGAAGGATATTTTGTTTGCACTCACATTACTCTTCATTGAAACGGTATCTTGGAAATATCATCTTGCTTTCAGGTTGCTCTTTCATACAGTAATTTTAAAATCCCATTGATATTTAGTTTGTATTCAGCTTAAAAAGTATTTGTTAATAAGAGGTTTTAACAGGCTGTTTTTTGATGCAGCACCTGCCTGGTCACTAGTGGACAAAATCATTAACCACAGAATGAGTTAAATGTTTCAATCTCATAGTTAAAACTCTGCTTTGGAGTCATCATAATAAAATGAACCATTTTAGGCTAGCCTTTAGCCTTCGATTCTGGACTAAAGTACCTCTCAGCTTCAATGGTTGGCTGTGAATTGATGAAGCAAAAAGCTATGAGTACTAAAAAATTACACAGATTTTGATACAGCATGACTAGTTAAAAATAAAGATTTGCATTCTCATGCAAGATGCAAACAGGAACAATATATATATCCAATTAATTACATTTTGTAATTCTAGCATCAGCTATTCCATTCTATCAATAGTTAGCAATAGTAAGGTTAGCTTGCAATCTCCAAGCAACCCCTAAGTAAGGTCTAGAAGTAGAGTTGTCATCTCAGAAGATTGTTAAAAAATTAAAATTTCAGAATAGATTTCTTCACTTTTTATTAATTCAGGTATGAGGACAAATTATTAAATTAAATTTCACAAGGCAGAATGCATTCAAATCAGATAGAAGATGGGGACAGAATTAAGGATTTGTTTACTATTGGCTGAGATGGAAAGAGCAGCGTCTCAGAACATTTTTTATCTCATCAGAATAACTATTAAAAAAAAACCATAAAAGAAATAGCATACTTCCTTTCTCACTCTCTGCTACAAATAAATTATTTTGCTAGGCATAAATATTTAGTCTATAATATTTTTCATGTATCAAAGTACCTCAGAAGAATTTAAATGCTTATTTCCATACAGAGAGACCGTCTATTCTCATATCTAGCAACAACAGCCTTATACTAAAATGGTTAATTTGAGAAATAAACAATTAGAAAGATAAACTCGACATGTTGCAAATAAAAGGCAAAAATATTTATCATTTCTAAATTGATTTTTAATCAGGATTGTATTCCATTATAAAGATGTACTTCGTATACATCTGCACTGACATAGCAGCTTTTCCCTAGCTAGCATTTCTAATGTAGCATCAGGAGTTTTCATTTTACTTAGCAAAAAAATCTCTTCTTGTTTTTCAGTTAGAGTGACACGTTGAGGACCAGATCTCTGTGAAGATTTAAGGTCCAAATCTCTCATAACAAATACAAGTTTACCTTTTCTTGTTAAGGATTCATATGAATCAATCGTATAAACATTCATATGAAATTTGCTTTTCAATAAAAAAATCTACCATTAAACACTGTGTAATACCATGCAAAATTTAAGTTCTGTGGGTTTTCAATCAAAAAAGGACATATAGGAGTTACTGGGTTTTCAACTTTCTACAAAAAGGCAGTGATGCAGTATAACTCCCATGTGGCATCATCGTGTTTTAGACCAGAATGTAAAGCAATAGCTCATAACTTCAATTGTTTGTGAGAATCAAAGATCTGAAAGTTTAGGAAAAAGTGTTCATAATATTTTATAATCTTGAAAATCATCTGAACTGATGCTTTTACATTTATCTGGTAACAACAATCTTAAACAAAGGCTTAATTTTCAAGCTTATTTTTATGCTTTGTTCTCATCAGATAAGCAAAATTACAACTACTTGCTCTCTTTCACAACACAAGCCTGATAAAATATGCCAGTCACACATATGCTAAAGACATTTTTGAAGATGCACTTAAAGTGATAGAATACCTAAAATTGAATTGGAGCCTTGGTAAATATCTGAGAATGAGATTTTAGCCATGAAGCCATAAAGAAATTCACATTCAGATTTTGAGCACCTTAATGAATGAGAGGGTTTTGTAGACTTTCCTCCAGTAATGTTGGAAATGTGCTTGATGGCATACATACTTGACTACACCACTGAAGTCTTAGCCTTTTCCAAGATCATTGCAAGTTGGAAGCACTTGGCATTTCCCAAGGGAAAAAAAAAAAAAAGTATGGGGGAAATGTTTTCTGACACCAGAAGATCTACTCTCAAAAACACCCTAATCACAAAACTCAAGAAAAAAGAAATTTCAGATTTCAAATGTTTAAAGAAATAGATTTTGGACAGGGTAGTGGGAACATAGTTGACATAATGTAATTTTCAAGCAGTTACCATAACAGCTTTCAAGGGGCAATATTTAAAACACTTCTTTAATGTCAGCTACAACCTTGTACAATGTTACTGCATATCTTTATAGACAGACCTTTTTCAGGTAGTTAAAGCACACGAGTTTTAGCTGCTAATTAAAGAAATTAAATACACAAAAAGTTACCTTTTTTGGATGCTTCAAAACTGTCATAGAGATTTATCTTTTGGGTGTCATATGTTAATGTAGTGTTTGGCAGAAGAGTTCTGTTTCTGTTGATTGTGTTCACAGCAAATCTGAAGGCTAATTCTTCTGCTCCCATTGGACCAGATTCCACACACTCAAAAATACCTCCTGGTGGAGAGGGAGAGAAAGAAAAAAGAAAGAAAGGAAAAACAAAAAACACTAGTAAGCCAAAATGGCATAAAAGAACAATTTCATTATTATTTTGGAAAAAATTCCTCTAGCCTATATATTGGATATAGATATTCTTAACCTAATAAATCTGATATCATGCAATTAGTGTAAAATATCCCATGATTTCAGTGATATTTGGGTCAAACAATAACCCAACAGCAGTATGTATTAATCAAACTTACCTTAAAGAAAATAAGTTGAGTATTTTTGCTGTTGTTGTTGTTTGGGTATTTTGTATGTTTTTTGTTGTTTTTATTTTAAAGACATCCTCTTTACTAGTACAAATAAAAACACTATGAGAATATAAAATAATCACATTATTTAGAAGTGTAGGGACAAAGAACATGTAATTATTATTTTACATACTTAAACCTGAAAAACTGCATTCACAACTTCTAGATCACAGGTACATAAAAGGCAAGATTTCTGGAGTCTTGTTTTCTACTGGTCTATGCATTATATAGTATCATGAAAAAGATAAGAAAGTGGAAAGTTCATTGGAAATGCAATTCACAAAGAATAATATTAGCAGGACATCTCAGATTGTGTCAAGAAGATTTATACACATTTTAGCCTGACTGTGTACCTGAACATATGTATATACGTTGAGCAGAGGTTCAAACTATACTCATCTGCACTGAGCTCAATGTACATGCTAATCTTAATTTCAACAGATAGAGGATTCAACTACAGTCTGCGTAAAGCTCAATCACATGTAGAAAGCATCCCCAAATGGACTGCCAGAGTAGGACACACCTAAAAGCACAGGCGATTTCTAGAACTGCCTTAATCTTATACGAACCAAACAAGATTGTTGTATATCAGTCCTTCTCATCTTGTAATAAGGTATCACTGCCCATGAAATATAAATTAACATATAAGTTGCAATAATAATTTATTCTTTGTTCTCAAAAGGCCAAGAATATGGTGTCAATAAAAGTAATCTGAAAGTATGTTCTTCCCAAGGCATAGAATGCCTAAAAAAAATAAAGGTCAGCATCACTACTGCCCTTTCTATTCTTTTGTTAATAGTATCTGTGAATAATAGTAACTAGGACGAGACAGGGATTACATCACTGCAAGAAATGTTTTTCATTTATTTTCTCCTAATGTGTACGCATTCATTTTGAAAGTTATGTGGCTACCTGGCTTTGTATTGTCTAAAAAAAAAATCTTAATCCTGGTTTCTCAGAAAGAAACTCTCAGCATCAAAGTACGTAGGAACTGAAACCAAACTTTGCAAACAACCACACAACCTACATTTGGAAATAATGTGTATTATGTTATTAACTCCTTCCCTCTCATATATTATTAAACACAAAATGGCCTTTCAGATTTCTAACCTTTTGATTCGTCCAGCCTGTTTCTCAACAGAATATGGAGAACAGGTGTTAATTTTTATTTTTTTTCCCAGCACGTGAGTCTTTAAGTTCCTCATGAGTGCCCTAGGGACAGATGCTCGACAAGTATTAACCACTGAAATGAGACTTGTCAAATAACTATTTTAAAACTAGTATTTATAGGAGAGGCAAACATTTAAGAACAATCCAGATACAGCAAGGAATGATTCACCTGATTAAACGTATAAGAATATATATAATAGATAGACAATATTAACAGTAACTTGAAGCTAAAAAGATAAGGCAAATATGAACTTAGTACATTTTAAAACTGAAAAATTAACCATATTTGTTTAAACAATAATATGCCATTAACATGAGAGGCAATCTGTTTTTTGAATTTAATAAATTATTCGGGAGAATGTAATCTGGTAGAAAAGATTTTTCGCTTTTTTTTATGGCTTATAGTGTCTAAATATTATAAATCAAGCTATGATATTTAAAAAAAAAAAATGTTGCAGAAAGTTAAAAAATAGTGGATGTGTGTTTAATATAGCTATTAAGACACAAGAAAAATTACAAAAAGTTACAATAAATATAATCAGAATTAAGACAGATTTTATAGATTTTCTTAGAGACTTGGAAAACACTTGTTTGAAGAAATTCTGAATAAATAATATCACACAGTAAAAAAATATGATATCCTAAGCAAGAAAGGATTTACAAAGAGAAATATGCAATACAGTGTACCTTTCTTCTCTCTGTAATTTTTACACTGGAATCACAGAATAATTTAGGATGTAAAGAACCTTCAAGATCAAGTCCAACTATCCCAACTCTCAACAAAACAGGACAAACAGTATTTTTGATGGCCATTGCCCTCCTCAACTGCTTAGTTTCTAACCCCTATGACAAGCACAAGGTCACACTTGACTCATGAGTGGTGTCATCCACTCTGTAATTTGAAACATTCCACTCAGAAAAGGGACCCCAAGCTTCCTACCTGAATTTTTGCTAGCCTCATGATATTTACTACATCTTTCACATTCTATGGCTGCAGCTGAAAGCAAGAGCACCTTCTGCCTTACTTCAACAGCTAAACTAAGCACTGCTGGGCATGCATCACAGAAGACTTGTTTCTTTGCTCCTCCCAGGGCACCTGCCACTGGTTGCTAGCAACCAGAACCTCTTGGGCTGGGCAGACTTTGGTCTGAACCATGACATCCTGGCTTGGCTACACACCACAGTTTCCCTGGAGAAACATGCTGCAGCTCTAGGACCAGCACCAGGGAGAAAGGGGTCTGCATTTCAAGAGAATTCAGATTTGCCTGTGCAAAGTCATGACCCTGAATCTGAGAAATGCTTGAGCTGGAACTGGACCAGAGAATGGCTGAGAGCTTTGCCACTGACAAGTGCCCTGCAGCAAAAAGCACATGACACTTCAGCAAAACAGAGCCATGGAATACAAGTTTTATGCTCATTTTTTTTCCATTGAAAGATTTTCTTCCTTAATTTATATTTGCCTGAAACTCAATACAATCTTGTTTTTTTATTCTTGTATTTTTCATTCTCCTCATCTCAAAGTCTTGAGATAGGGGATACCTTGTCAAAGATGCAACCAGGATATCTAAAATAAAGATGGTTTTGTCCTCCCATATTCATGTAATTCTTAATGGGATTGATAGTCTATCACATAAAAAGACAATTTTATGAAAATGCCAAGGCCCCTAACTTCTGTAAGTGGCAACAGCATGTATAATTTCCCATGTGCTCCACTAAGTGTTTTCTTCTCTCATTCACACGTTTTCTGTCTTCATGATAAATGCACCCCCTCAAAGGTGGCAACACACGGTCTGTCTTCATCAAGGTAAATTTCCATTCCTAAGGAAAACAGGTAGAAAGAACAATCTGTTTCTCTCGTGCATGAGGAAGGAAAATACAGCTTGTGGTTACTACTTTTTAACATTTTATGCTAGATGGATGTTGAATTAAAAATAAGAACCTTAGAATATAATTATGCCATATACTTGTTTTCTATCAGTTTCTAACTTGAACAATGTCAAACTTACAATTCAGTTTCAGGGTATTTCTATGTCTGCTGAAGCAGTGAGGAATTAATATCACATAATTTAATACTTTGGATGCTGAAAGAGTTAGGTTCAATCTTAATCTGTGCACTAAAAGCATTGAATCATTATGTTCTTAAAATGCACCATGTCCTACTAATACACAAAATGGCTGAAAATGCCAAGCTCCCCTGTACTAACTAGAAGCTGCTAACTTTGACCAACTTAATACTGCATTCAGGATATCACAGTTTTTAATTAATCTACTTGAATTTTGTGTACAACTATGAAGTTGCGCACTTACATAGAGCAGAAATTTAGGCAGAGACACATCTACATTCTAAATTTCAGAATGTAGTCATAAAATAACAACTCCTTGTTCTCCAGACAAGAGTTCCGTTAAGTATATGTGGAAGTCTATGTATGTATATTTTCAGTATGCTCAGCAGAGACCCAAGTATGTATGAGCTCTGGCATTGATAGAAAAGGGAACATTCAATAGAGTGCTTCCTCTGTTGTTGCATGAGATACACTTGAAACCTAATACATAATCATCAACTGCCTTGGTCTTACTCCTCTATTCTCATTTTTATTACTGAATATGTAAACAGTAGCAATAAACGCTGAATATTTTTAAATAAAATATTATATATAAAGTACATCTACTGGCTTAATACTGGGAAATAAATCAGAAATAACACTAGATCTTTTTTTTTAAAAAAAAAAAAAACGGAAAGCAAATGAATATAAAGAATTGTCTTTGCACTTTTTGTACTTCAGCTATACTTTATTCTAGAAGAGAACTTGTTTCTCAAATCAGTTATAGTATACTGAGCCATGCTGCTCCCTCCCAAGAAATCTTTTTCCTCTATTTCCAATGGACCTTGTATTCAGGATAGCCTTATTAGTAATCAAACTGAGGAATGCGTTGCATTGTTCTCAGATAAGCAGACAGGAGAGTCATAAATCTTGCCATTGACATGTGGAGAGTCAGCCAAGCCAATGCCTATCTCTGCCTAACAGCTTGAAAAAAAAAAATAAATAAATTAAAAAAAAAATAAAAGGTGTTGGGGTTAGTCTTATAATAATAACCACATGCAGACCCATAATAGGCAGAAACATGGGTCTTCATGTACAAACAACAGAATATCCTAGAGGTAACATGAATTTTTTTTTGCTACCTCACAACATAGAGAAAATTTTAAAGAAGTAGTTTAGCACCATATGTTATGTCTTCATTTATAGTGCTAGTGATATAAGATCTCTGACCTATGACAAATACAGCATCAAATAACTACAGCTCAACCTCTAGCTCAAAGCTTTACTGACTATGCACAGTAGATGATGACTGTATAGATGAATATTTTCGCTGTCACAATTACCACTTTGCAAAAGTTTACAAGACTCTGGTGGTGACCAACAACTGATGAATCGCAGTGATGAGAACAGTTTCAGATAAACCAGTAGAAGCCAGATGTGCAAAAACCACTGCGTAACAATATTTAAATACTGTATATTTTGCAGTGATTTC